AGCTGTAGAGTTGTGACAATATGCCTGCCCTCCACCAGTCACTAAAACATTAAAAAAAATTGGCAGCTGCTTTATTTCGACCTCCCCAATATCATCCAACATGTCTTTATTGGCCAATGCTGATCCAAAAACACACAGGAAAGGAAATACTGGGAAATTCCAGTTTCACCAAATTGTTATAGTACATGGCCACTGTACAATGAGAGTCACTGAAAACATTTTTTTGAGCAGGAAAACAACTTGATGGGAACGTTGTTTTAAAAATGTTGATCTGGGGCCGGGCACAGTGGCTCACACCTATAATCTTAGCACTTTAGGAGGCCAAGGTGGGTGGATCACCTGAGGTCAGGAGTTCGAGACCAGCCTGACCAATATGGTGAAACCCCATCTCTACTACAAATACAAAAATTAGCTGAGGGTGGTGGTAGGCGCCTGTAATCCCAGCTACTCCAGAATCTGAGGCAAGAGAATTGCTTGAACCTGGGAGGCAGAGGCTACAGTGAGCCGAGATCAGGCCATTACACACCAGCCTGGGCAACAAGAGCAAAACTCCATCTCAAAAATAATAATAATAATCAAAGAGCTAATAAGACAATGTAAAATAAATGGGCCAAGATTAAATAGAAGATAAAAATAGAAAATCTAAAACAAGAACCAGGCATTTGGAGGCTCTTTTACCTGGGGTGGGACGCATTCAAAGGTCTAAGACGAGGCTGAGGAGTGCTTTCCGCAACTCTGGGTGACAAGGGCAAAGCTGGATTGTGGGACTGGGGTGCCGGAGAATCCCAGGCACAGAGGGCTGAGATCCCAAAGGGCCTCACCACAGGAATAAAGGGGCGGCTGAAAATAAACCTGAAGCCTGGTTGGCTTTGACTGATCTGGCTGACCCAGAAAAGTTCAAATTCTGAAATTGGATTAGGGGAATCCTGGATTAGTATAGCTTTAAGGCCTGGCAGAAACAAAGAAAGAAGGCCATTGTCCTAGGCCTCAAAGGATTTCTACAAAGACCTTTTCAAACACAATTTCCAGCATATACTCAAGTATTTTTTTATTGTATGCCATTCTTAAGTTAAAACAAAAAAATTTTGAGCACACACCTTTAATGCAAATTTGTTTACAATTATCACACTTGCTTCTTTCTGTAATGGAACGTACAGAAAAAGAAATGCTAGAGGATGAGATGAGAAATAAAATGTTTACGTTTTAAAAATTTTATTTTTTATGGCAAGAAGCAATTTTGTTTGAGTTAAAATTATTTACGAAAGCCCAAAGACATATTTCATGAAACTCATACAAACTATTTTTTCCTGCTGTTGGCTTATGCTCCAGAGATCACAGCTGTGAAATACCGTGTAAGATAAAAGTAGTACTGGACTCAGAAAAGTACTCTACTTTTAAATTTCCAATGGGTAGTATATTTAGACATATTTACAAAGGAAAAAAAAAGTTTACTTTAAGACTTTAGTTAATTGGCAGGTCACCTCAAGTGCCCAAAAAGGTAGAATTCTCTGAATGTTAAAACACACAAATGCGCTGCATTTGGTGAAGGTGATATTTCCCCCACCTAAAATTGTATTTCTAGTAGTAGAGAAAATTTTTAATATCACTGTATTAGTTTGCTGGAACCACAAAGTACAAAGAAGCAAACAATAGGAGTGGCTGGGCACTGTGGTTCACACCTGTAATCCCAGCGTTTTGGGGGGCTGAGGTGGGCGAATCAAGAGGACAAGAGATCGAGACCATCTTGGCCAACATGGTGAAACCCTGTCTCTACTAAAGAAATACAAAAATTAACTGGGCATGGTAGCGCACACCTGTAGTCCCAGCTACTCAGGAGGCTGAGGCAGGAGAATCGCTTGAACCAGGGAGCCAGAGGTCGCAGTGAGCCGAGATCCCGCCACTGTATTCCAGCCTGGCAATGGTATGAGATTCTGTCTCAAAAACAAAAATAAAAACAAAAACAGGAGTTTATTCTGTCACTGTTGTGGAGGATAGAAGTCCAAAATCAAGCTGCTGGGAGCGTCATGGACCCTCTGAGGGTTCTAGAGGAGGATCCTTCCTCGCCTCTACCAGCGTTGGATAACCCAGGTGTTCCCTGGCTTGAGGTAACATAAATGTAGTCTTTGACTTCTCCTTAGCTGGTCCTCTCCTCTATGTCTACCTGCTCTCTTTTCTGGTTATAGGGACACCAGTCATATAAGATGAGGGGCTACCGGCCGGGCACAGTAGCTCACACCTGTAATCCCAGCACTTTGGGAGGCTGAGGCAGGCGGATCACCTGAGGTCAGGAATTCAAGACCAGCCTGGCCAACCTGGTGAAACCCCATCTCTGTTAAAAGCACAAAAATTAGCCAGGTATGGTGGTGAGCTCCTGTAATCCCAGCTACTCAGGAGGCTGAGGCAGAAGAATCGCTTGAATCTGGGAGGCAGAGGTTGCAGTGAGCCAAGATTGTGCCACTGCATTCCAGCCTGGGCCACAGGAGCGAAACACTGTCTCAAAAAAAAAAAAAAAAAAAAGATAACGGTTTACCCTTATGACCTCATCTTAATTTAGTTAATTATATCGGCAGTGACCCCATTTCCAAATAGGAACTGAGGATAAGTATTTCAACTTAACTTTTTGTGAGACATAATTCAATCCATAACAATCACCAACTAGTCTTCATTACTTCAAAAAATCTTTTGAAAGTGATTAATACTTTGAGATTTGGCAGTTCAATGACCTATATTCAGTTTATCTTAATATTTAATTTTAATGTTTGTCATAATTTAAAAAAAATCTAAGACATAATAAGAAATATGTATTTGGTATCTGCCTCCAATTCTTGACACAGAGCTCCTAAAACTCTTGTAGTTTCCTGAGCAATAGGAGTACTAGGAACATCTTCTATTCTAATATTTGGTCCTCAACTCTGTGGTATGGTTTGGATCTGTGTCCCCACCCAACTTTCATGGAGAATTATAAACCCCAGTGTTGAGTGTGGGGCCTGGTGGGAGGTGACTGGGTCACGGGGGCAGATTTCTCATGAATGGTTTAGCACCATTCTCTTAGGACTGTTTGCACAATAGTAAGTCCTCTCAAGATCTGGTTGTTTAAAAGTGTGTGGCATCTCCCCTCTATCTTGCTCCTCCTCCAGCCACGTGAGATGCCCCGCTACCCCTTTGTCTTCCGCCATAATTGGAAGTGCTTCCTGAGGCATCCCCAGAAGCAGAAGCCACTATGCTTTCAGTACAGCCGGCAGAACCATGAGCCAACTAAACCTCCTTTCTTTATAAATTACCCGGTATCAGGTATTTCTTTATAGCAATGTGAGAATGGACTAATACACTCTGGTTCCTGAGACAGAGCTCCTCAATCCTTTGAAAATTCTTGGGATGCCCAAAAGACGATGGAAATGTCTTTTGTTCTAACCAGGCAACTCTTGATGCGCTCCTGAATGGAGCTGGTCACCAGCAAAACCAAGCCATGATTAGAACTTGGAACTTTCAGCTCCACCCTGCATCCTCTGGGGAAGGGGGAGGGACTAGCGACTGAGTTAATAATGAGTCATGCTTACATGATGAAGCCTCCACTGAATCCCTCAACTACCAGGTTCAGAAAGCCTCTGGGTTGGTGAATACAACCATGTGCTGGGAGGTTGGCACATCGCAACTCCATGGGGACAGAAGCTCCTGTGCTTGGGACCTCACTCTGTGTACTCTTCATCTGGCTGTTCATTTTTATCTGTCATATTCTTGATAATAAACCAGTCAATGAAAGTAAAATGTTTCCCTGAGTTCTGTGAGTGAACTGTTCTAACAACATAAGGCGTGAGGATGGTGAAGAGCCCTGATGTATAGATTTATAGCTGATTGCTCAGACGTACAGGAGGCCCAGTTCTGGCACTGGAATCTGAAGTGGGGACAGCCTTGTGGAATGGAACCCATAACCCACAGGGGCTGCACTAACTCTGGGTAGTGTCAGAACTGAATTGCAGGGCTGACCACAGTGGCTCACACCTGTAATCCCAACACTTCACTTTGGGAGGCCAAGATGGGAGGATCACCTGAGGTCAGGAGTTCGCCAGCCTGGCCAACAAGGCGAAACCCCGTCTCTACTAAAAACAAAAATTAGCTGGACATGGTGGCGGGTGCCTGTAATCCCAGCTACTCAGGAGGCTGAGGCAGGAGAATCGCTTGAAGCCAGGAGGCAGAGGTTGCCGTGAGGTGAGATCATGCCACCTATAGCCTGGACCACTGAGCAAGACTGTCTCAAAAAAAGAAAGAAAGAAATGAATTGTAGGACAATCAGTTGGTGTATAGAGGGTTGTTACGGACACACACTCCCACATTTGGTGTCAGCAGTGTGGCAAGAAATCGTTTTTAATACCTCAAAAAGATGAAGAATTTCAAATGAAAGCAGTGCCGCTCTAACTTGTTTCTTTTCTTTTCTTTTTTTAGACAGGGTCTCACTCTGTTGCCCAGGCTGGAGTGCAGTGGTGCAATCATGGCTCACTGTGGCCCCAGCTCCTGGGCTCAAGCAATCCTCCCACCTCAACCTCCTGAGTAGCCAGGACTACAGGCATGTGCCACCATTCCTGGCTAATTTTTTAAATTTTTGTAGAGATAGAGTCTCACTATATTACCCAGGCTTCTGATTGACTTTTGCACACAGTTTTTCAATCTCATCTACTTATTATAGATTTTTCTTTATTTTTTTGATTTTTTTTTTTTAGTAGAGACGGGGTTTCACCGTACTGACCAGGATGGTCTCGATCTCTTGACCTCGTGATCCACCCGCCTCGGCCTCCCAAAGTGCTGGGATTACAGGCTTGAGCCACCACGCCCGGCCTTATAGAAAGATTTTTCTTGAAATTCAGCTAGCAAATTTCCATCTTTACTAGGTCACTTAGTTGTTCTTGAACACTGAATGGAAGATGTTACATTTTTATTGTTTTTATAAATAAGTTAGAAATCCAAAGAAACTCTGTTTAGGAAATTTTTATTTTTTTTCTTGCTCGCGTCCGGCAGGTAATGTGCCGATGTTGTAACAAGGCTTGAGGGAGGCATGTCTCACATGTGGATGTGAAAACGCAATCATCAAGCTTATGAACCACAAAAGGGATCTAGAAAAGTTTTAAACATATGAAACAATTCTGTGTCCATGCTTGCGTGCATATAGGAGACACCGTTGTATAGCTTTTTGACTTAAAATCATCTAAGAGCAGAAATGCTTTCTAACATTCTTTTTCAAAATACTCTCTCAAACTCATGAGCATAATGAAGGAAACAACACACACTGGTGCCTATTTGAGGGTGGCAGGTGAGAGGAGGGAGAGGAGCAGAAAAAGCAACTATTGAGTACTGTACCGGGCTTAGTACCCAGGTGATGAAATACGTACCAGGCTTAGTACCCGGGTGATGAAATAATCTGTACAACCAACCGCCGTGACATGAGTTCGCTTGTATAACAAACCTGTATATGTGCCCCTAAACCTAAAACAAAAGTTAAAAACAACAACAAAAACACAAAAATCCAAAATACTCTCTCCATAGGGTGCAATATTTCTAAAGCAACTATTTTCTCATTTGTTGTTATGCTATTTTTTTTTTTATCTCGAGGAAACATATGAAATGAGTTTATTTTTTTCAAAAACATCTGTTACATGGTGTGCTATAGAGACACTCTTTTTGTTGCAGAAAATGTCAGTGTCTTAGTTTAGTTCCAGCTGCTTTAACAAAATGCTATAGACTGGGTGGCGTATAATCAACAGAAATTGGTTTCTCAAGAGCTCTGGAGGCTGAGAAATTCAAGATCAAGTTGCCAGAGGATTAGATGTCTGGTGGTAAGCAGACATCCCCTTCCCCTTGGTGGAAGGGGAAGGCAGCTCCCTGGATACTAATCCTTACACCCCAAGATTAGGGTGTAACCCTCATGACCTACAACCCCTCCCAAAGGCCCCACTTCCTAATGCCATCACATTAGGGAATTAAGTTTCAACATATGAATTTTGGGGAACATTAACATTTAGACAGTAGCAGCAGCCAATTCTGTATCCTTGTCTTCTGGGATGAATACTGTGATCCATCACCCAGCGCATCCTCCTGTGATGTTGGTCTTGCTGCTCCAGATGTAGGAAGTGCTGGCGGGCATCTCAGGGACTGCCTAGGCCGCACCCCTTCCTGGGGTGGACACCCAGTGACCATCCCATGCAGGAACATAAAGAACTGGCCATCTCAGCCCAGCCCAGGACAACTCTGAAGGGCCATTCTAGCTCCAGAGCGCCCGTGGATTCAACCTAGTGTCCTGGCCGGAAATGCATCTCAAAGTCTGTCTCTCCTCAGTTTGCTTCCTTCTTCCCCCCACTTCCTTCTACGGGTGTTGAAACCAAGGATGTGCCTTAATAGTCATCCTGTAGAACATGTCTCAGAATTTTCTTCCCAGACTTAAACGACATTTTCATCTGAAAGAAAAAAAATATGTGTAACTTATCTTTAAATACTTTGCCAAGAAAAAAGCCAGAAAACTCCTAGTGTTTGCCTGCCCATTTTAGTGATGGCCTGTTATTTCAAAATCTTGCTTTTACAAAATTAGGGCCATTGAAAACAACTCATAGCAAGGAAACAGCAATACAGAATAATACCAACAGTGGAACTCCGACCACGCCCTCAGGATACTTCCTGTTGTTCTGTTTGACATGTGAACAGGGAACATAAGGGACAAATGAGGACCCAGGTGTCTACTTTATAGCAAATATTAAGAAAGCTTCATTTCTTACCTTTTAACATAAATACATATACTTTCTCATATTTTCTTTCTCTGCCCTCAATACACAGTATTATATTGCAAAGTCTTCTCATCTGGGCAAAAAGCCACAAGAACTGAATGTAAGGAAGGCAGATAGGTACAGCCCAGTGGGGCCAGGATTCATGAGCTGTCTGTGCTGCTGAGGTCATGGGAAGAGCCAATGATAACTTCTAGATTTCCAGCTCAAGTGACTGAATGAAAGTCAGTGGCTTGACATCTTTGACTTGGGGAGAGGAACAAGGTGGCATTTGCCATGCAGGATTTGGAACGTGAGGGTGGAACATCTGGATACAGGAATTCAGTGGGCAGATTCCAGTGTCTGTATGCTCTAGGGGCAATCAGGAGAGGACTCAAGGGGCCATCTGCAAGCTTGGGAAAGTTAAACCAAGGAAGTGATGAGAATATAAAGACAGAAGATGACAAACCTGAAGTAAGGTTTTTACCGATTAGGCCTAGCAGTAGTAGTTTTGAAGCTATGCTGGAAAGGCCTCAGGTCTCAAGGCAACCTACAGGAGGCCGTGGAGATGCAAATGTGGGCTAATGAAGTCCCGGGCAAGGGCATAGGGAGGGGGAGGAGTGGGAAGGAGAGGAGGCATTTGGACAAGCTTTGTGACTAACAGGAGTAAGGAACCAGGGAGAGGAGAGAGTTCATGTTTTCCTTTTAGACTTTATTTGGAAAAATACCTTTATTTTATTTATTTATTTATTTATTTATTTATTTATTTAGAGATGGAGTCTCGCTCTGTCGCCTAGGCTAGAGTGCAGTGGTGCTATCTCGGCTCACTGCAACCTCCACCTTCCGGGTTTAAGCAATTCTGCCTCAGCCTCCAGAGTAGCTGGGATTACAGGTGCACGCCACCATGCCCAGCTAATTTTTGTATTTTTGGTAGAGATGAGCTTTCACCATGTTTGCCAAACTGGTCTCGAACTCCTAACTTCAAATGATCTACCCGCCTCAGCCTCCCAAAGTGCTGGGTTTACAGGTGTGAGCCACAGTGCCCAGCCGGAAAAATACCTTTATTTCAAATACTCTGTGCTGTACTCCCATTCTGACCTTATGAAAATCCACATACATACAAAATCTTTATGGTTCAAGTGTTAGAAGTGTTTACAGTTAGGCACTGAACACACACTAGTTTCCTATGGCCATTTAGGCAGCTAACTATAGTCATAGATTTTTACCCACACAGACAGCAATGGCATGTCATAAGCAAGAAGGCACGTAAGACTGATTCTCACTTCCTTCTGTGGTGTAATCATTTCCACGACAGGTAGCATATTTGGTTCCAGACCATATTTATAAAAGTTTATATTATAGCTGTTTAGGTTCATCTGTTAGTTTTTTGGGGGAAAGTTAACCAATTTAGAACTTTGAAAGGGTATCTATACTATTATTTTCACAATTTAATAGGTAGAGCATCTGAAAAACGGATACCATATTTCTTTCCTTTAGCAGCTGAATCTCTTTCTAAACTTCTATAAACACTTTCCACGGACGCCCCCAACGCACCCGAAAAATGGGTAACAACAGAGAAAGGAAGGCTACCACTCAAAAAAAAAATTTCTCAAACATGTCATATTCTCTTTGGTGTTACACAGAATAGAGCCTGCGTCCTTCCACTTAAACAACAAATCCCTGACTGTTGTTGTAAACAACAACATTCCCACAGAAGTGTGACATTTTGCTGGATCTTTATGTTCTAGTACAAAATGTAAATTTGTGGTAGAATCTTTTTTCCCTGAGTGTAGTTTTAGAATGTTAATTGTTGGATAACTAAGTTATTGCAGGCCTGTTTGAATCAGGACTGAGGGGAAATTGCATTTAGGACTGCCAAAAACACTTTTATTGGACTTAATATTTATTATAGCTCAATATCAAGACATTGGCTTAGAAGTACTTATTCATGTAATACTGCTCTTCTACTTCATCATGAAATTGGAGTTAGGCTCAAATTTTACATTGTAATTGAAGTCTAGCTAACAGTAGCTGATAACATTCCTGTTGTATTTGTCTACGACGTTAACCCATTCAATCTTCACCTCAATTCTATTAGGTAGGAACTACAGGCTGACCATCCCTAATCCAAGAATCCAAAATCCAAATGTTTTGAGCACTGATATAACACCACAAGTAGAAAATTTCGCGCTTGACCTTGTGTACACACACTTCGTTTCATGTACGAAATTATTTAAAATGTCGTATAAAATTACCTTCAGGCTACATGTATGTGCATGAGGTATAGTTGAAACATAATTTTATGTTTAGACTTGGGTCCCATCCCCCAGATATCTCATTGTGTATATGCAAATATTCCAAAATAAAAAAGGAAATCTGAAATTCTAAGTACTCCTGGCCCCAAGCATTTTGGAAAAGGGATACTCAACTAGTATTAGTGTTCCCATTTTATAGATGAGGAAAGTGAGTTCTGTAAGGTGAAGTAAGTAGACCAAAGTTATACAGCTATTACGTGGGATGGCCAGGATGCTGACCAGACAGTCTGCCATCAGTTCATGCTCTTAACCATGCTGCTCTGCTGCCTGCTTAATTGAGCGTTAAATAGTTTTGAGGGAAAAAATACTCCAGTTTGCCCTTATAAAATTCCAGAAATCAAACATGTAGTTATATTGTAGGTTGGGGGAAACTAAGTGGTATCTGTAATAAAAAGCTCCTGGAAGACAGAGCAAGCAGGTCTTTTCTGCCATCCAGCCTACCCTGGAATCCCACTTTCCAATATTCCATCTCACACAATAATAAAGACAAATGAATGCTTCAAAGAACCTAAATGCAATACAGTCTTATGACATTTTGCCAAAGAATAATGATTTTTTTTTAAAGATGAATGCTAAAAAGGTCATCCACTTCCAATTTTGCAAACTGCAGGCCACCATGCACTTGTGAAAAACATAAAAAAAAAAAAAAAAATGGATTGCAGGCTGGGTGTGGTGGCTCACGCCTATAATCCCAGCACTTTGGGAAGCTGAGGCGGGCAGATTACCTGAGGTTAGGAGTTCAAGATCAGCCTGACCAACATGGAGAAACCCCATCTCTACTAAAATACAAAATAAGCTGGGTGTGGTGACACATGCCTGTAATCCCAGCTACTGGGAAGGCTGAGGCAGGAGAATCGCTTGAACTCGGGAGGCTGAGGTTGCAGTGAGCCGAGATCGTGCCATTGCACTCTAGTCTGGGCGACAAGAGCGAGACTCCATCTCAAAAAACAAATGAATTGCATTATAATAAATGTTATCAGAGTACATATTGATATTGTTTTATTTAGGAAGCTTTTATTTATGTGTGAGATCACAACCTAAAATATG